GTGCAGGTGGGCGCTCGCAGTTATGCCGGATCAAGGATCGTGTGCATGAGAGCTTGAACAACTACTTCAAGTTTTGCTTGATTGAAACGGACTCGGGCATTCTTCACCATGCCTGCGTGGCTGCATCCTATCTCCATCCTGCATTCGCCGATACGGAGGACGAGGACTCCGCTCAAGATTCTATCAGAAAATGTATGGCTTTCTTTGGCATCAGTGACAGTGCTCTTGACGCTGACGACTCCTCATCAACTAGTAGGCATGGGGTAGAGGGTACTTTGTTGGGTGCCCTCAATCGCAGAGATCTCAGGAGGACAACAACGGCGGTGACGGGTTTGTCTCGCGAGTTGATCGCATATGAGCAGAGGTTGAGATCCGAGTCTGCCGTGCACTCGGATTTCCTCGGCTTCTGGGCAGGCTGCCCAGATTTGCCCATTCTCACTAAGGTTGCTGTTGCCCTCGCAACAATTCCTGGGAGTAGTTGCAGCTGCGAAGAGAGCTTCAGCTTAGCTGGATCTTTATCGAGAAGCAGAAGATCCAGATTATCTGACAGCACTTTACGTACCTTAATGCTTTTGAAGAGCCATTAGCTCTGCTATCGGCCCTTAGTATTCTTTTAATCTGTGACACATATTATGTGTTAGCGTCCCATTGCTGTGTGTCTTTCTGGTCTTCCGTAGTTGTATAAGTGATATTATAGCATGATTTGCAGGAGTTGTTTCGCGTTTCTTTGAAGAAGATGTGTTCTAGCCAACTTCTAGTAACAAAAGCTAGAGAATCCGCCGTAAACCGTAAATCGCATCCGTAACCGTGAATTGAAATATTTTACGACTCGTAAATCGTAACGGAATTCGTAATTTACGGCGATTTTGCCCATCTATAGTGTTGAACTCACTTCGCTGCCCTCTCTGCCGTTCCCAAATGACGGGGTTAGAGCACGATATCGAAGAGGGCAGTTCAGAGTCTGTTACAGCTTCGCCAGGTGAAACCGTCGGTGGCTATGGAAGCGCATCTGTTACTTCTCCTACTGGGAGACAGTTATCCAGAAGTGCCGGTGTCGCTGATTTGTCTGGTCTCCAAGAGTTCAATGTGTCTCATTCGCCGAATGCGGTGCCGACCCCTGCCTTCCCAGCTGTTATACAGTTGTGAGCGATTTTACCAGTCGGTACCCCTTTGTAGAGTGACCATCGAGAGCTAGCCTTCGATCGAGAACTTGTATTCGCACATACTATTCAGATATTCTATCAGTCCCTTTGAGACTATTCTTAGTGGTGAGTTGCTGGCTCATCCCTCAGTTGTCATCTGGGCAAGATCGAGTCGACTGTCCAACTCTATTCGCACAGGTCTGCTTGTCTAAGCTACACGTGGTTGAAGAACCCGTCACTGTATGGAAGATGCACGTTCCTACTCGATTGGTTCCAGAAACTTGATAGCATTCTTCTCCTATATAGTTTTCTCAGAATTATATATACGTCTATAGCAATCTGCAGAGCACATTGTCTCTGTAGATGTTTACTTGCCATCTCATCTGCCTGCTAGTTCTAGCAAGTCGGATATAACCACGGGGAGATTCTGTGCATATTCTGATGTGACTCGCTGCTCCTCGGGGTATGTTGTTGGTTGCTTCAACAACAGCCGCGTTTGGGTAGTCCCCCCGTTTCGCTTTTCATAGAGGGGTTGAGTTGAGTAAGCTCGGATTATAATAGGCTAGGGTGAGTACAGGTCACCAAATGCCCCGGACAGTGAAAAAGATACGGCTCAAAGGGCTGGAGCTAAAGGCTGAGGAGAGTACTATTGTTATTAACTATGTTCAAGATGCCTGCCTGATGGATGAGGATGGCCGAGTCACCTCCACAGAGAGCACGCCTGGTAATGTTATACACACATTCTCGATCTCACTGGGATAACATTTTCACTGCGGCGGAATCCTAGATCGAAAATGGCATATCTGCCCCTGAGTTGGCTCGGGGCGGACGTCGCTTTGATCGCTGGAGTGATTTCGATTCGGGAAAAAATCGAGAGGGACTGAATTGAAGAGGTGACGATGAAATTGAGCGTGTGTACAAGTCTCCATTGATTGCATGAGGACGGTCTCAGCACCTCGCTTGGATGGATTGATCCTACTAGGGTGTAGTCTGGGTGGTATAGCTGCCCCAATCGGAGAAATTGGTTTTACTAGGGTATAGTTTGGGGTGGCATAGCTGCCCCACTCGGAGGAATTAGTTTAACTAGGGTATAGTTTATGGTGGCATAGCTGCCCCACTCGGAGGAATTGGTTTAAATAGGGTATAGTTTGGGGTGGCATAGCTGCCCCAATCGAAGGAATCGATTTTACTAGGGTATAGTTTGGGGTGGCATAGCTGCCCCATCCGAAGAAGTTAGTTCGTCTAGGATCTAGCATGGGTTGGCATAGCTGCCCCACTCAGAGAAGTTTATTATACTAAGGTGTAGCATAGGTTGGCATAGCTGCCCCGCCTAGTAAGGTTGAATTTCTCCAGAAGATAATGAGGCTGATAAGGTGTAGATTCCGTATCATACTTGAAATGCATTGGAGAGAAGTCTTGTGCGAAGACCAGAGGCGGTGGCATAGCTGCCCCTCTCGGAAAAATCGATGTCCGAGAGTAAATCTCGGGGTGGCATAGCTGCCCCGCTTTGAGAAAAGGTGTAGACACTTCACCTTCTCTGAAAAAATGCAGTCGGGAAGAATTTTTTTTGCCAAGGGCAGAGGTCGGTCAGAGTTCGGCATGTTGGGGTTGACCTCGAGACAAAGGCTGATCAAGTTATGCAGGCAGCTAGCAAGTAGGGGAGGTATTAAGGGGGTCCTACTAATAGATGTCCTAGGTATATATTGCCAAAGCATCGAGAGGAACTTATACGGTTGTTGGGGAATCTGAGAACTTACCAGGGGTCTAAAGACAGGCCGGTGAGCATTGGTAATACGAGACAAGAAAGCTTCAGACAGCAACAGGTTGGTCGGGGAGAGAGTTGAGTAGAGTAGAGAGCCGATGTGGGACAGGTCTATGTCACATACTGATGTTGCTCTGCAGATACTCCCAGCTGAGGAAGAGGCTGCCAGTTACTACGAAATGGTAGGACGAGAGCCCACCAATGCCTGTCTATCCTTCACTGTAGATATTCCGCTCCCTGCCAGAGGCAAACCCCAACTCAATCGAGATGTAGCATGTCAACTATAGGCCTTTCAAACAGCAACGATAGGTATAAGGATAAGCTATATGAGGACGCGGTGGAGGAAAAGCTGATCGGGGCTCGTTATTTTCTTAGGTCTGCTTTCGAGCCGGACGAATGTTACTAACCTGTTTTAGGCTATGTGTGGATCCATGTACCCTTGCGTATATTGCCCATCAGGCGATGAGTACTGTAGGAGGCCAGGATGGATTCAATTGTAAAAGTCTCGGGACTCTAATAATGGACCTTGAATCTTACGCTCTCGCATAGCCTGGGTGGTGCCTCACCGGTCCTGAAGGTACCTGGCTCACGGTGTTGGCGAGAGTGCTCAGGGAGGAGTCGGTGGGTCTCTTTGACTTACCAACTACTATCAGTAATACAATAGCGCCATCCATAGCTCGCATCCGGCAATCTAGTAGCAATGAACTGGAATGAGCGTACCCAATAGATAACAGTAGTTGCCGCATCGGTAGGTAGGGTTCTATGGTGAGAGTTTGAGATACGCATTTTCTGTGCACCAGCGAACTCGGCTCTGTCAGGGAGTGGCGCATCATCAGGTGCATGCTTCCTCTGCCTGTCCACTTATTCTGTCCTTCACCCGTTACTGGCGGCTTACCAGTGTGGTGGTATCACTCTACGATTGGTGGAGCACGAGGTTCGAGAACGGGCCAGGGCCCTCAAACAAGGGGTATGGAAGCGGGAAAGACATCGGCAGTTTTTATCCTATCGTAAACAGCGATATAACGGGTATGGTTGTGGAGTCTTAGTCCCCTAAAGATCTCCATCGTACTAACAGAACTTTTCCCTCGGTCTGTTTCCAGTCAACTCCAGTGTAAAGGGGTGGTCTGCTCCTTAGGTGGACCAGTGTCGGCTCGCATGCGATGCTCCAGGCTTAACGAGAGAGGAACGCAAAGTGATGAAACAAAACAAACTGCTGCGAATAGCTCTGTTGACGCTATTTCATCTCGCTGAGGACGTCATAGTCGAACGTAGTAGCTTGGCAGTAGGGCTACGAACATGGTAATCACGCAGAGAAGATGGTGAATGGGAAACTGCCAAGTCTTATTGCCGGGCTCTTGGATCGAACCTGGGAGCCTCTACTGAAAGTGTGCCTGGTATTTCTCAAGAAGCTATCTGTCTTCCGGGAGGCTAAGGACCAGATGGTGGAAGCTGGAGTAGTGTCGTCGTCACGTTGGCTGTCGTAGGAGGGTTGTCTCTAGGTGCTCCGATCCCTGGTCGCTAACTGTGTGATGAGGCATGAGTCGGGAACTACACGAGTGCTGGCCTTGCATGTGCTGATGGAAATTGAAAGGGGCTTATAGACGTCACCATTGAATTCGTGTATATCACATGAGTTCGAAGAAGTTGCAATGTTCCATCACCTATTCGGGACTAGTTCTTAGGCGATTGTCGTTAAAATACATCCTGGGAATAAGGGGGCTGTTTCAGCCTTTGAAGTGATACGTTATTATGGTTGTGAGTGAAAGGCTTAGAGCGGAGCTGTTGCACTCGGCAGGTCCTCTATAATCTATCCTTCGACCCAATTGTGCGTAACTCACTATCGGAAAGTGGCGTTATGATGGCCTTGGTTGGTATCTTGAGAGAGCAGCCAAGCTGCCGACAGCTGGTCCTCAGGCTTCTGTAATAAGTTATTAGTAATTAGTAATAAGAAATCAGTTATTATATAGTTATGACTAATAACTATATAATAAATGCTGGGCCCGGGGATCGAACCTGCGCCCTATCATAGATATCATTTGTCCTTCGATGATCGTTGCAAGTCCGAGCTTTGCTTTTGTGAGGACTTCATACCGATGCTGCTACAGCTGGTTGTGCAATCTCCCGAACCTAGAGTGGGGGTGGACCTCATGGCTGTGGGTCTCCATCGGACCTCTTTTGAATCTTATCGGACCTCCCTCCGCTAGGTGCTGGTGAACATGTCGACTCATCAGCGTAGTGCTCAGATGATGCTCCAGTCAGGGTTATGGCCAGAGCTAGTGTGTCCCTTACATGGTATTGACTCTCAGTTTCACTATGCAGGTACATAGGGCTATCAAGTACAGCGATGCCCTTGTGTTGAAGGTAATGCGAAATGCGAGCAGTCATGGAAGGGATCTGCAGGAGCTTTTCTGTGAAGTGAGAGGCGGTTTGGTGTAGTCTGGCGAGGCCCATTGTAGGTGCTGAGCAACTCTGCGTTATCGCACTGGACGGTCGAGCTTGTTCGCTTGGCTCGTCGCTGTAGTAACGGTAAGAGTAGTGGACAAGACAGGAGGGACGGAGGGGCGGACGTAGTGGTCGAGGTAGCAGCCTTATGCTCTCAGTTGGTCTCGGCATCGCACTATCGTAGTTCCATATTCCTGTGAAGTTGATTTATACAGGTATTGGGGTTACTAGCCAACTTCACAACATCGGGTACCGGGATAGACTGGGCGGAGCTCTGCTCGATAGATGACAACGGCTTCCTGTTGGACCTCTTGACAGATCAGCTCATGCCGGGCTTCACGGGGGATGATGTCCTCCTAGAGAGTGTCATGGTCGTTGGAGTAGGTTCCTGTATACCACATTCCGCTTCTGACTGCACCTTGTGAATGAGTGTACCGTAACCAGGTGATAGCCTCCTGTCCGGACCCCGAGGTGGGGGGACGACTATGTGATAACCCACTTCTGATAAGGCGTCTTATAGACTTGCTCACTGCTAAGCAGGAGGACGATGATATTGTAGGCATATGACTTTGGTGAGGATCACCTGGGCAATAGGTTCTACAATTGCTTTGGACATTTTCTATGCTGTTGACGAATTCTGAGGTTTCCGAGATGGTCCTCGAAACTGAAGATGGTCAAGTGGGATGGAGGGCCGCCGCCGCCGCGTATCGGTCCACCTCATGTGGCGTATGTAGGTGGTGCACTATATGCTCGAGTTGGTGCACGACACTAACCCTATGATAGCGAGGCAGGCATCGATAGCTCTAGGCATTGTAGCTGAGTTGGAAATGAAACGAATGAAACGGGTAACGTTATCAGTACATGGAGGTCAAAGGGAGTTCTGCAGACTTGTGCTGAAGATGTTCGTGCGGCCAGCAGCTTGTTCGGCAAGGTTCGACAAGCGCGCTTTGAGGCGCATAATCAGAGGTAAGATGCGTCCTCGTCAGTGGGATGAGGCGCTTCAGGTGGATGGCCGAGGTTGATGGTGGTGAAGAGTCCGCTGACAGTGGAACTGATTATTCTGGAGAGGGAATAAGTCGGCCTCTCGAGAATGATAATATTTTGGTTGTTATGGCAGTCTCCACTGGAAGCGACGAAAGGGATATGTATTTCATGCGCCACAACTTGGCCTTCGCGGATACTTTGAATGATCGGTAGGGCTTCGCTCCGCTAAGGAGTAAAGGGTGTTTGTCAGGCTGTGGGGTGACGAGGGTGATGGAATGTACAGTCTGGGGTCGTCGTCGTCATCAGGAGGAGGAGGACATGTTACGTATCTGTGATGTCAGTTGATCGCTGTTGTTGTTATAGTCACTACAATTCGTGGGGGAGGGGGACGCTGAAGGACCTTTGAGCGTAGAGCAGTGTAGTAGTGGTGGTGAATAGATCTGTATGTATCTGTTGTGTTGAGATGCTGAAGGGTTGAAGTGCTGTTAGTTGGTTATGTGATAATGACGTTTGCAAAGAGAGGCGACCAAGTTTCCAAAAGTTCCCCCTTTCCACTAACGCTGCGCTGAGGTCTTCTGTCATCACGCGGACGGTCTTATTGAGGGCTTTCGTGTGGCTCAGTCGATTAGCTCTGTCCTATATAACGGCAGCGACAAGGCAATGGACTCCACCTTTGTGAAAATAATATCACTGCTAAGGATATCTACCCATGGCCTCCATCCTCATCCAAGAGTCGTTGTACTGAGTGAGCATGCACATGTTGTTCTCCTGTGCATCGTGATGTTGATTTTCGTGTTATTAACCTTTCTAGACTGTGCTTGGCCTTGCGTTCAGACATTTATCGGGACAATATCGAGGGCGTTTGATCGTTCAGTATGGCCAAGCGCTATTGAGATTATATCTGATGCCCACGTGGTCTAAGAAATTCCGTTCAATTTTCTGTGAACAGATTTACAAGAGTCAATTACAGTGTCGTAAAATATGCACGCGGTCAATTAAATGTGTCGGGGACAATGTGAGGAAATTTTGGAAAATTTCTGTACACTTCAATGCTAACTCATGTATAAACTCCTAAAATGGTTGAGGAAGTTCTTGAGCTCAGGTGAGGGAAGCGAGTATATATTCCAACATTGGTCGATTATGATGCTACCGCCTCCTATGATGAGAATTCGACTGTTGCTATGGACGTATCCACCCAGCTTTCGAAATCCATCATATCTCTTCTCACAGTTCTCAAGCCTCTGACACTTAGTGTTCGATAGCTCTGCTTTAGCCCGTAATTGTGCTGAACTGTCAGTTCCTGCTTTTCCACACTATGAAAGCGTCCCTCTTAGTGTTGGCACTCTCCTCCACAGAGTTCGTCTCAGGATCAGTTCGAGTGCAGCTCACGAAGAAACGAAGCCCGCATCCAGCGATCCGGAACGAGCATAGGGTTCCGTTGCATCATTTTAAAGTGCGGTTGTTTAACCCCGACGAGTCCAGTCTGGGGGCGAACTCAGCGCCCTCAGTAGAGGTGCCCGTTGTGGAAAGTGGTATGGTGGGCAATTTTAGCTACTATGTTGAACCTATTCTCAACTTGGCCAATTTGCAGTACTACGGACCCATCACTGTTGGGACTCCTGAACAGGCTCTTACCGTCCAATTCGATACTGGTTCTAGTGACCTGTGGGTACCACAAACGATGTATGATTACCACACCTCGCAAACATCTTCAAGCTCGACAACGCAGAGGGTGCTGGAGTACGGCAAGGGCGCGGTGTTTGGCAATTTGACCAATGACAGAGTGTGTCTGGGCCTCTCTGGTGAACTCTGTATATCGGGACAGAACTTCATCTTGGCCTCGGCACAACGCGATATGAACATGCGGTTTTTTGACGGAATTCTGGGTCTTGCTTGGCCCGGTCTATCTCGTACGGGAACGACAGTCTTGGAACACCTGAGTGAAATCATGGACTACCCGCTCATTTCCTTCTCATTCACTGACGATCCTATTTTTACAATGTCTCTCGGAAGCACGGTCACTTTTGGTGCTATCGAAGAGGAGAATTACCGTAAAGGTACCTTTACATGGGCGCCAGTCGTGGGGAATCTCTGGTGGTCTATCGAGGTCAGCATTGGAGTACTGTCACCACCGTCGAAGGCATCACCTAAGTCTATTGGCAGTGCTAGCAATTCGACGCCGGACTCGGGCTCAGTGATGATCTCGAATCAGCAAGCAGCGCTCGATACAGGCACATCGTACATCACTGTGCCAAGGAACGTATTCCTACCGTTGCTCACTGCACTGGTCCCTCATGAAGTGTTGATGACTTGCAGTGTGCTCTTACCAGGCGGCTTTCTTACATGTCCGTGTGGGGCTCAGAATAGCGCGGGAACTATGGTGATCATCATACAGGGCATGCGATACACTGTCACGCCGACTGACTACTTCACCTTACCGACGCCACAGAATGAGTGCATGATTGAGTTGCAGATGAGTCCTGATGGATTACCTATAATACTAGGCGACACTTTTCTTAAGAAGCACTATACTGTTTTCGATGCTAAGGAGAGGCGTGTTGGAGTGGCGGTATCAGCCTATGGTGGTGTCTTTGGTGATCTCGATGGGAGTCGAAGTTCAATGCCGATCAGGGAAAAAGAGAACTCGGTTGACAGCTCCTATCGGCTCTTCGGGGTTGTCCTCGTCACTGTACTGCTCGTACTCAGTGCCGCTTACCTGGTCCCTCGCTTCGTGAGCCGATTCACTCACCGATCAGCTCTGAAGCGTCCTCTGCTCGAGACAACCGATGCACGATAAGATGACCTCTGAGGTAGGCGTAGAGTTGTATTATTTTTTTATGACAACTATATCATGATCGGAGTTCTATGCTGTTATTGCCTTCGTATATAATACAGTGGTAGTAGCCGGAGCGCTGAAACCAGTCAGGCTATCATGTCCGTAAATGCTGATTTGATCTTTGCGTTGATGGTGTTGCGCACAAGTCAACTCCTTGGAGACCGCTTCAGAATCACAATAGAGTTACTCACGAGTCTGGCTGAACGTCTATGCGCAGAGATATTTCCACGCTACGCTGACGGTCAGAACTCACTTGAACACACACGGTGACAACATGCTGACTCTCCGAGCACTACATCATTGATGTACTTGTCCCCTGGTTCAATCGTATGAATGACTGCTTCAATAGGCGAAGATGCCGTTTTCCCGTTCTGTCGTCATCCGCATTTGTTAATTGCGTTTGTAACATTCCGAGGTACATGCGAGCCCTTGGAAGGGCTCGAGTCCACCGCTGTAGATCTCAATGTCTATCAGGCCCTCACTGCGGGTCAAGGACTTTACCGTGATGCTGAAATCGCCATAGAGAGATATTGAGGAGTTCAAGGAGCCCATTATGTAGGTCAGGCTTGAAAGCCTGTGATCGCGTTTGATGAGCCGAGAGGTAAATAACCAGATTCACCTAAAATATCCGATTTTTGGTTATTTTCGAGCCTATCGCCCCTTGTTCATGTTGTCCGACCGTGTCGGTCTACTGCTGAGAGCAAACTGCAATCGACCGACACGGAAATGGGCGATGTGGTTGTAGACATGGTTGCTTCTATCTGCAACTGTGGAAGCTCACTCTGTCTTCAAGCGCGAGGAACTACGCCTACAACCGGACTATGACAGGCATAATCTTAGTAAGATTTATGATAGTTGCTTAAACTGTGTTCGGCATAAGGCCTGCTGACACCAGCAGTACGAGAGACCTCTGGGGCGGGGTAAAGGAGGTCATCGAGGGTTGACCATGGTAGATTGGCATACCTATGACCTATAGGTTATATGGACTTTCAATAAACAGGTTCTCCACTTGAGTAGGGTACTTCAGAGATGTTTCGTAGGATTTCAGGCTCAATAGTTTGTGCGCAAGACGGTGTTTCAGTCGATGCGCGCAGAGGGTTGAAAGTTGTTTTCTAGAGTTTGAAGTACGCGACTTCGATTCCAGTATGAGAGGTATATTTAAGATGTTCGGCTAAGAAATTTGCTCAAAACTCGATCTGATTGAGGAAAACCTTACTTGACAAGAATTGCTCATTTTAGATGTCGTGTACTGTAGGTGGCATTGACCCGGGACATCAGTACTGTATCAGTGAGAAGGGCCACCGAAGAGCGTAAAGTTCCAAGACTTTCGACCTTCGTTGCGTTGCTCCTGTTCAGTGCAAGTGCTCCTGTCACAGGAGTCCTGTGTCATGTTGTTCTCCATTAATAACGAAACATATATAGCAAACTGACTAAGGATGGATGTAAAATTAAGACAAAATACGCGAAAGCGTCGGGTAATACTAATCGACTGCCTCAGACCTCTTAAGGGAGGAAAGGGGTACGAGATACAATTATCTGAGGTATTATTTATCGTAATGATTTCTGCGGAGGGAAGGCAGAGCAAAGAGCTTCCGGCTTATATACTTAGTCAAGTCATCCGTGATTCGACAAAGCGACCGTAATCTATAGAACTTCAGAACTGGATGATAGCGCCATAAATGCCGAGAACCATAACGACGAACCCGATCACGATGAGCGCAGCGAAGAGGACCAATTCCCACTTCGGAATGGACAACTGATGGGATCTCCTCATCTTAACATAGCAGGCGATGGGAAAGAAAATCGACAAATGCGGCACGCAGAAGGCACCTATCAAACTTACAAGGGCATCGACCTTTGGTACAACTATTGCAATGCATCCTTCAAGAATGACAAGGCCAGTACGACCCAGCAGAGAGACCAGCTTATACTTGAAGGAAGACCACTGCTTCTTCTCACTGATGTCCAAGCAAATCTCATCAACCTTCTTTGCCGTCGGTGTGAATAGGACTAGATAATGAGACGAGACAACAACAAGGACAACAACGTTGATAATCCAACCAAATGTATTGAGACGCTGACCCGCAGGAGAGATTGCGCCAGCGATTGTGTCGGCCCCAGCCAAAGCTTGACCGTAAGCTATGTATCCGAGCTCCATGACGGCCATGTACAGGGCAGTGCAGAAGACCAGGGCAACGAACAGCGCTTTTGGAAAATCCATCGGTCTGGTCATATTGGCGCACACCGTAGGCGTCGTCGAGCTCATACCATAGCCGAAAAAATAGGTGGCGAACATCGAGAAAAAATCGATCGCTCCATCTGGGCCAACCTTTAGGTCACGAGCGACACCGTCTTGGACAAGCTTATCAGCTGAAGCAACGAATATGACAATGACCATTGCTGAGACAGTCACAACGCCAATCGTTGCGATGAAACCAACATTCTTGACTTCCTTAATCCACGAAAGGGGTATGCCAACGACTATCCAGATCGCTACCCAGGCACGTCTATCGAGGACAAGAGCCATTGCTTCACATGTTGATGCCAATAGAAGGAGCATTACGGAGCACACGGCAACCAGGGTGACATGTAGGGTAGCCCCAAAGTACACCGCGGCTATCTTACCGAAAGCAACTCGACCAACCTCCTCATAACATTTGGCGACTTCCTCCTCTTCTTTAGCAGCAAGGCGCAGGGCTCTCCACAGAAGGTGGTTATTGTAGAGGATGATACTGGACGCGACGAGAAGACCAAAAAGACTACCGAGCCAACCAGAGTGAGTAGCCGTGCCTGGCAATGCGAGAACTCCAAGTCCAACAGCAGTCATGGTGAGAGTGCAAGCAGCTCTGAACCATCCTATGCCCGGGTGCTCCACTACAACATCAGTACGAGAAGATTTTTCCATGCTTCAACAAAGGGAAAAACCTGAGAGAATTTTCACGAGTATCTACAACGCGAATACAAGATTCAACACGATAGATAATTTCCCATCAGTCCAACACAAAACCATATCGCAGTTGCAGTGGAGAAGAGTTACCTACTCCTCGGTTACACAAAGAACAAATCCAGTTTAACAGCAATCCTTGTGTCGCCGATTCAGCTCCGCCAGAGCCTCCGTTCGGCACCTCCCACAGCGACATGCGAAGCCGTAAGCCTGGCGGAGCTTAGATTGCCGTTCCACTAAAGGAAGATTCTCATCGATGTAACTTTGGAAAACCTCCTCTCCGGAATGTACAGGCTTTAATGATTTCACTCGGAGGCATCGCGAACCACGAAATGAAGCTTCCGCATTAGGTGAACACGAATGATTAGTGACTGCCACCCCACGATAGAGCCCCGAGCCAAGTACCTCTGGGAATGGCGAACAGCTCGGACCACCTTCGTCATCATACGGGACCAGCCGCTGAACCAGCTCGAGCAGTCGATGCCAGTCCACCTTCTTTGCGAGAGCCATACCACGAGGGCATCGTAGTGCCACCTCGAACAACTCTTCCGAGGGATGATCAAAGCTCACAAGCATGTTGTTAACCTCGAATACACCCAGTAAGCGGACGTACTCGTCCAATGTGAATCGGTCACGAAACTCGGCAAGATGATCATCTGGGAAGAGTTGCATTATAAGGCCATACGACTCCTGCACGCCTTGGTTTGTCTTTTCCAACGCTGGATGCGACGAGAAGCTCAAGAACTCCGACAAGGCTCTTTCGACGGTCCAGTGCGATTCCAGAATGCGATACGCCATTATCGACGTTGCCTGAGCTGCCAGCATAAAGAACTCATTGTGCTTCAATGCCAGATTCTGCACCTCATAGCGTATCTCAGAATTCTCACAAAGCCGACTATGTGCCGGTTGAGCAAGGCGGCGGCAGTCCTCAGAACAGTACTGCGCTTCACCACAGCTACACAATATACTTACAGGGCTCTGCATTACAGAATCGAGCCAAGCAATGTCGGTGACTATAGTCGGGAAGTCGTCCTCAAGCGACATGTTTTTGAGAGCCAGTACATGACCGAACGCATCACTGAGTTTACCAACGCTACGAAGACAGTGTTGGCAGCATAGAGCACCACTATAACGAGAATATGCGAATTGCATTGATACCAGTGGATACCGATCTTCATAGAGGAGGTCTCCTTCGGCGACGTCCGCTTTTGAGACGATTCCTAAGCCCGAGCAAGTTGCTGATGGCTGAACGGAGAGGAGTCCATAACTCTCAGGATGCTGTCGTTGCCACTCTTGGAAGAGGTGAGGCAATTCATCATGACCCATGTAAACCCAACTGCAGTCCCGACAACTACTTAGATACCCAATCCAAGACGCAAAGCCAAACACATCTAATGTTTCATGAACAACAACATGGAATACACATCTAAGGATTAGAAGTAATGCTTACGACTACCACCGGAGGCTGCACCGAAGGATGTATACCTGAAATTACCATGGGCTGATTCCCCTCGGACGAAACTATCATTACTGAGTGTATTGCCCGGGTCCTGGAGTAACTTTCATGTCCGTCGATTTACCAGTACTGAAGCGAAAGATATCACAAAACGTAAAACTCTGCGTTAAGATTTACGGTATGTTCAAATAGCTCGCTTTGAGCGCTCCAAGCCTCAACTTACGCAGGACCTTGGAAAGATCAACACTGAGGAATCAACCGCCCCGGCCCTGTGATAGTACCGTTTCCTGTTTCTGTGTATCAAAGCGAAAGTCAGGCGATAAGCTGACGATGCTACGCGAGATCTGTGTCACATCATTGCTGTCACCAACCTGAGTATCATCATCACAGTATCAGCATTCAGGGCGAGTGCTGCTCACTCTCATGCGCGCATCCATTCCTACGTTGAATTCCTGAGGAGTTCTATACCGGCCCGGTCCGGGTTGTTGATTCTGCCGAGTCAGGACTTGAACCTGACCCGGAACATACACTCTGAAAAGACTCACCCAGAACGCCATTAGAGGATCGAAATAGGGAAGGTCTACAAGGCGAGAAGGACTCATAGATAACTACCCATGTATCTCGATATCCTCCACCCGTGGTATACTTCGTGTTTTGCAGATGATATTTTGATTTCGCCTGAGATTCACCAACAAACCTGAATGATAAAAAAGGCTTCAGGATTACCTTATTGGAGCTGTACTTCGCACCATGACCGACTGTGAATCGAGGACCCGACGTGAGAGTCAGAGCATTCGCCTGCCACCCTGACTTCCAGTCGGGGCATGGTGATGAGTTGTATCGGTTCATCAATGGTAATTTATCAGAGCTGCGGATTAAACAGAATGAAACAAGTCGGACACGAGACAGCAGAACAATATACACCAACGGAACGGCCTTCAACGACGGTCTATAATGAAATTACTATTGCGATGGACTAGAAGCACAGAGGGAGACGGCAGAAGCAAGACATACAATACAATAAAGCAATACATGTACAGGACCTTCTTCTACGAGAGAGCGCTACGGGATCTCACTCCCATAGTCAAAGGACTTGAGAGTGGGTGGGAGCCAAGACCGGACACTCAACCCTGTGAGCATTCAGTTCGTTCTTGGAACAATCAATTTTGTTAGGAACAGTAGAGCTGAAGATACGGGAAGATCTAAAACGGGAAGATCATATTCGCCTTACGAACGCAATTTAACCATAGAGAATTGAAATTCGCCGTGAATCGAAAGGAAGTTCGAGTTCCTGGTAATAGGGACTTCGGGCTACCATACTCATCATAGGCTTCTCAACTACATCACGGGCCCGTTCGAAATCTCAAACACCATCCTTCCACTAAACTCAGATATCTTTGTTCGCAACTCCAATTTCGTCCAGGGGCCTATTTCACAAGCGTCCTTTGATTAGGACGTCTTTACGTATAGGATCCTAACCTTAGGACGTCCTAGGTTATGGGCGAGCGAAAATTTCACTGGCCACAAGAAGGCTGTATCAAATTTCGCCAACTCAGAATTCGCCAAAATGACGCCAAACAAATTCGCAGGCCTGATGACGGGAATTATAGGTGATACCAGTGTTGGAACAGATTACAACAATGTGATGAAATACGTTACTCTACAACTGATTTGGACTAGGATTTGGTGGATTCTGCAAAATTCAACAGATGTGCAGTAATCTGCGTGTTGTTCTCATTCCGCCAACATCAGTATTGGCAATAACTGCACATGGACAGCTCCCGCCAAGTTGGTCTTCTGGACAAGGATTGCCAAGTAGGTGATTTTAGGGTTGTGAAATATGGATCGAACAGCGTGCGCCCAGGCTATCGATTTATGTTTTGGACGGTCCAAATTGGACCAAACTTTTGGTGCCACCAGACTGGTGCCACCAGTCTGGTGGTGTCCAGCATACACTAGTCATTGGAGTTCGTACATGCTCATTATATCAAGACTCAACGTTGGTTCATTCCCATAGATGATGCCATCATCTATCGCTAGTAGCGAAAGATGCTCCGGAAAGGCCATCAGTAGTAGTAGTAGCGAATGGCTACTACTACTGATGGCCTTTCCGGATGAGGTAGGTTCTTCTTTTTTTCTTACGCCTCCTGTGAAGCGACGACACTCCACTACTACTATTACTGCTACTTCTTCCCCGGTATCTCCCCACGATGACGATTCTGTGACGAAAAGTTCTGTCGCTGATCCTGAACCCTCAACGAGTAAGCGTATGAGGTGCTACAACTTCTGGACGCGATCTGAGGTCATTCTGTTCATCTCGGGTGTGAATTTCAATTAATTTCGAGAGCTTTCGCACTGTGAAAGCTCTCGGATTCAATTGGTCTTATTTCCTATCGGTATTTTCGTACTGAGTCTTCACATTGTGAAGACAATGTGAAGCTCACAATGCCCAGCTAGGACCGGTCAACAGTGTCGTGATAAGTTCCGTTCTCTACTGTCTTCCGGTAAGTAGGAAGTTTCGCTCTTGTGTTCTATACTGTGTTGCTTTTCAGGAGAGGTTGAGTCTTGGAGGACCCTATTCTGTTTAAGTGTCTTGTTGACAACTCGCTCTCACTCAAGCCCGCCCCCGATAGTCGTGTCGATCGCTTTACTACTCCAACGTCGGGTTCTGTTAATTCATAATCTCGGAAAAGGGTCTCTTTCAGGTCTGATCCTCCATTGGCGAGGCACCTCACGTTCGGGTATATTTAATATACTATATTATACTGATCTGATCAGTCTGATCAGCTCCAGCGGGGATGCGATATAGTACAAACAACGCTGCCGAGGCCCTGCACGGTGCCCTGAAGTGTTTCATGGGTCATCGCCGTTTACATGAACGATTCTTCATTCATCCACTGAGAAAGCACAACGAGCGGATGCGCATCAAGCTCCGAATGGAGGATGGTGAGCCTTAAATAAGGCGGTGGCCTTCCAAGGCTGAGGAAAGGCGAGTGAGTTAATCTCATTAGTTGGTGTTGTTTTTTTGATGGTAGTGTTGACTCGGAATTCAGCATCCTTGTGTTAATCACATGTCAATAGTCCCCGGAGACATACACCGGCATACGAGTCCCGCTCTCGGCGGGACTCGGTTCCCTCCCGCTTCCCGCGAGGGAAGCGGGAGAGAAAATTTTTCAGAAACGCGGGACGGGATTAGAGCGAGAATCCCGTTTTCCCGCTATTTTCCCGCTCTTCTCTCACAGCGGAGCTGTCAAGCCGCCTACATCAACTTGGAAGGATGCGTCTCAGTCGCATCAATAAATTTTGCATAGTGCTCTTTTTAAGAGCTCTAGAAGGGGAGGGAGAATATCTCCCCTCTCCAGTTATATCGTGTCTACCTAGTCTATCGTGCTGTCTACCAGCTCGACGGGGAGGCTGTTCTCCTCCGCTAGAGCTGTTCTTGGTGATCGTAGACATAACATGACTTGCTCCTTATATGAGTCCCTTATGATCTTACGTTCGACTCGTCATGTAGTTAATTAAGCTTGCTTGAATAGCGTATCCAGGAGTCTACTGAGTAGACTCTACTCAACTTCTGGTGCGAAGTGCAGGGCATGCTGTCAGAGTATAGCATCATCTTCCAACTTATCTTGTGTAACACAAGTTGTGTTGAGTCCCCTTTATCCAAGAAAAGAAGCCTGATCTGTGGCACCGCGCGAAGCGCGGTTCGAAGAAAATGAGCGGGACGCGCGGGACTCGGGCGAGACTCGTCCCAATCAGGCGAGACGGGAAGGGGAGGGAACTGATCAAAATATTCCAGAACGGGAATCCCGCACTCTTCCCGTCCCGCCCATTTGCCGGTGTATGGGTCTCCGGTCTCCGGGCCGGAGACAAGGTGTTCGTTTGGTCGAACTTCTCTCTAGACCGCCAAGTTCGTCAGGAGTATTCGGTCGTCAGTGAGGACGACTGGTATGCCGGAGAAGACGATCTTTACCTGTATCGTCTTCGAGGAGACCGTGATGGTGAGGAGTTGGTAGTTGAAGGTGAAGAAGACCTCTGTCCGTTAATCGGCAGAAAGCGAGCCTTGCGGGGCTATGCTGAGTGCTGGAGCAGTTTCCGAGATAACATAAGAACTGAGAAGTGTAAAAAACACGTTTTAAAGGGGAACAAGAACTGGGTTATTCTCTAGGTTTCGTTTAGCTGTTCACTACGTTCACGGTGTCTTATGGCAATTGTTGCGCTGTTACCAGTAAGGTCGTTTCGGGACGCAACGACTAGTAATGGGGTAACCAGGTAACGGTAACTAGTAACCAGTAACTGGTTGGGGACAACACCTTGGTCACTAGATACACCCCATGGAACTTGCGCTTCTGGAACTTAGAGCCATGTACTGCGGCCGAAGAGTTTCTCTTAAAGGCAACTTTGTCGCCCACCTGAACTCAAGTCACCAGAACTAGGATACTATCCTATTAGGACAACCTACCTGAAACACCTCTTCAGGCTTCATATCCTCTCTACGTTCCAGCGCTCGCTTCCCTGCCACCTGCTTGATGTGTTGTGACCCAATTTGTTGATCCTCCTTCAAGTGCTGCCGCAGTCTCTCCACATAAGCCTGAGCTGCTTCTTGGTCGGAGCCTTGGTCGGAGCCTTATTCAGCCTTGAATTATTGAGCTCGAGCTTTGGTCGGAGCATTCCATCAAAAAGGAGGATCTCTATGGAGATATGATGATCGGAGATCACTGACCGATTCATACAAGGCCATACGACGCTGCTCAACTTCCTCGTTGGGCCTTGCCGGCTCGGCAAAGTCGACAAAGGATTAACTCGGGCGTGGTAAAACTCATGGGAGTAGATCCTGGGCTTCCCGCGCGAACTCTCCTGTACTCGATCGGTCTATGATAGACCGTCTATCGCCCTACCACAAGACATGATAATCATTTGAACTCAGAGTCCAAAGACATCGAAAGTCACTGAGAACAGACAACGAAAAGCAGAACCAAGGGTGAAGTGTGTGGTTAAATCCAGCTTGGCAGTATGCGGCCCTGATACGGCTTTCGCCGAACAGGAATCATGAAGAAGTTGTGGCGAAAGCCTGTCACAAAACCAGATTTGAACAAATCACCTGGCGATATTCGACTCCGACTCGGGAATATACCAACCGTGATCGATAAAAGGCGGATATCGCGAAAGATGGTGTAATCTTCATAAACAAATGATTATACCAAGATATCGGCGATTTACGACACGTAGTTGGCGAATACCGATAAGTTCACCAAGTTTTATAGCAATATCTGAGCCACTGGCATGTTACACCAATACCAAGTTGCTATAACCGTGCGCACAGAACGGAATAGATCATTTGGGCGAACGAAATTACGGATTTCCTCAACCAGTTTCCGCCACATCTGTGTCGACGCCAAAGAGGTGAAATATGGTCCAGAAGCGGTCGTATCCCATGATTGAGCGTGTTGGCGAGAGTTCATTAGGACCCGAAATCACCAAGCTTGGCGAGTTGGTGAAACCTGGTTCTCCGCACAAGCTACCTAATTTAATTGGCGGTTCCGTCCCTACAACTTCGTGCATCTCGACGGAACTGATGGTTTCAAGAACGGGCAAATGCTATGTGATTACATACCTTCCCAACAAGAACGGCAAGCTTCTCTCATTATGTATGGCACACCTCTCGGTGCAACTTCGTTGAGGCAAGATCATGGCTTCCCGATACGCGTCACCGTTTCACGCTCGCGTGCACACCATGACGCGAATCACACCCGAGTCGATTCGGCTATTCCTTGCCCCGTACAGTCGCCAAATAGTACAGAGTGGACTCGAGAGGCATCAATACAAAACATCTCGGCAACATCATCTCATGGAGTGAAATAGCTGTAGTCTGCATGGTGTAGTAGATGGAGATCACATCTGGTATGTAGGTAGCCCAATTTAAAATCCCGGAATCAAGAATTTCCAGTAAGATTCACACAAACCGAGACTCACACACCCGTATTGTATACATTGGGATTTCGGTTCAACCACGCTGTGTGAGGCGGTGATATAGTCCTGCAATATCTTCCGGTTTTCCCTACCAGAGCGCTCGTCTGCTGATTGGCAAGTCGTGCTGATCGAAAATATCAATCGAGTGGAGTCGTATGGCAACTTGTGATTCAGGTCCCTTGACTCTTGAACTACACACTCGATTTTCAGAGCCCTCGCGTCAGTGGTGTACCAATTCAGGACGATTCATAGCTAGATTAGGTGTGAAGTTATAGATGTACTTCCCCAGTCAGAGTTTGTATTTTGAGGCGCGATTTTAACGCGTGTATGCTAAGAATTTGTGGAGAGAATTTTACACCACTTTGCGACTCCTCACTGTCCACGAAGAGCTAGGCCACGAAACTTGGAGGTTGTATCATGTGAAGCATAATAGCACATCTCCCTGAGCCGCAAGATGGTGTTCGTTGTGGTGGCTGTGCACGAGTGGAAAAACCGGAAAGGCTAAGAATTTTTGAAGGAGTGTGGATGCCCAGTACCATTACAACGAATCCGACTGCAACGAGCGGCACGAATAGTAGTGCCCACTTTTGAGAGGGCAGCTCGAGGTTGAGCTTGATATAACGCGCGACAGGAAAAAATACGGACAGCTGGGTCACAGAATTTCTGTGACAGAAAGTTGCCCCGCCAGGAGCGATTGATTGTACTACGGTATACATTGAGTTGGCATAGTTGCCCCGCCCGGAGCGATTGATTGTACTATTGAAGGTCACCAGATACGGTGACCAAAGTTGTTTGCAATGTAACAAAAGGGAGGATAGTCTAGAGTCAAGGCAAACGCTGATCGAGGCGAGCGCTGATTGAAGTTTTGTGTGACCAGGAAGCTAGGCTAATAACCAATGGGGCCAATAGAAGTTGGATGTTGCCTGTCGTTTTAGTTTGGTAATTTTATTTTCCCACCAACCCGCCCGAAGGGAGATCTGAGTTCAAGTGGCTGAGACGAATTATTCTGTCAGCCTCTTGTCTCAGATTGCGGCTCAGATGAGCTTCTGGTTTCCGAGACCCGAAAACTCATCTGACCAGCCACACAACCCATACCCCTTTGGTGCAGGTCAAACAACGGTATACATTGAGTTGGCATAGTTGCCCGCCCGGAGCGATTGATTGTACTACGGTATACATTGAGTTGGCATAGTTGCCCGCCCGGAGCGGTTGATTGTACTACGGTATACATTGAGTTGGCATAGTTGCCCGCCCGGAGCGATTGATTGTACTACGGTATACATTGAGTTGGCATAGTTGCCCCGCCCGGAGCGATTGATTGTACTACGGTATACATTGAGTTGGCATAGTTGCCCCGCCCGGAGCGATTGATTGAACTGAGGCAAATCCTAGGGTGCTATGGTTGCTCTGTCCGGAGGGATTGATTGTATCAAGGCGTACCTTAGGGTGGCATAGTTGCCCCGTTCGCAGGGACAGATTGTACTCGGGTATAGCGTAGGGTGGCATAGTTGCCCCGCCAAGAGAGATTGATTCAACAGAGTCATATCCTGGGCTGGTGCGGTCGGCCTGCCCGGAGGGATTGTTCGTATTGAGGCATATCCTAGGGCCGCATAGTCGGCAACTACCAGCTGCCCCGCGAAAACCACCGACCGCAGCTCACTCTTCTTGTCAAGAGCGAAGCTCGCCTGTAGAATGCCTCCGAGGACCCTCCCGCTAGACCCGTTTTCTCCAGTCTGGCACCCTCTCCTCTTCGACAGTCTATCACAATATACCCAGGCGCAGTTGATAACCCCCGCCCCGACTCACCCAAAGGATCTCTGGTTGGACTTTCTTGTATACATTCTAACTGTGCGTATCTTCCAAATGGGATAACTAGTCCACGACATGTCGAAAACAGGTGAAGGAGATACATCCCTATCGAACGTTTTCACTCACTCGCAGCGGGTCGCTTTGCATCGATTGGGTTCCGTCGACAAGGTGAGCAGAGGGACTATCGAAGCCCTTCTGGAGCTCCTAGATTAGTTCCTCATCATCTCGGCGTAACGAGCCAAATGGAACATACAGCACTCTCAGGCAAGGTCACATGCATCCGCCCTTAGTATACTCTTCCCCTATCCATGAACACATCAAATGGATCGATGTTACAGCAACACGGTCTGAAGCATTTCTACATCACTCATTATGGGGAGCAACAAGGGTTCTTGTAAGTCTTCTACCGTGGCGATGTTCGACTGCCTTGCTGATGTGGATTCGATCAGATTCTCGTCGGTGAGTAGTGCATCACAGTCCATTTGTCGACACTTCCGTCTTGACCCAGAGCATTTGGCGGCAATGGAGTTCGTTGACGATGCCACAGGCTCGTCAGTATCCTTGGGGAATACTCGACAGGGAGGGAAATATACGCTCAGGGTATGAAGCTACCAACCTCGAATTGGCCTTCTACTAGGAACACTCTGTGCTCGCTGATGCGGTTGCATACTTGGGTGTCTCCAACCCTCAGCCCCTCCACGGTGCCTCGCCGCTCTCTCCTGGAGGGGCTGATGATATGATCACCTTCGAAGACGCGGATAGCAGAGCGAAGACGAAGTAGCGATGCCTACAAACAACTCACTTCCGTCGTATAGTGTGAGTAGGATTCGCTACGTGGAGTCTCCTGAGTGGAGAAGTAACCTTGAGTATACCCTATGTGCGGCATTCAATATCCCGAACGAGGAGGCCGAGCTAGAGCTTACCGTCGGGATGAACTCTGAATTTGTAAGTTCATTGATGTATGGATGATCCTTTCATCTTCGTTGAGCTCAGTTCGTTATTCCGCTTGCCGACGTTTCGCCGTCGATATCTCATTCATACATCGTGCGACAACGACGGAGTGCTCAGGTCTGGTGGAAGCGAGACTTCCGTAGGTCACCGAGTGTTGATAAACCTTTGTTGACCCCTATAAAATCAGGCACGATGGATCCGGTTCACAACATGATTTGCCTTCCTAGCCTATGCAAAGACATTATTGATACGCCGGAATTCCAGAGACTTAGGGACCTCACTCAGCTCGGTAGGTGATGCTCATAGTTTCGACTCGCATGAGTTGACTACCACAAATCTCGTTAGGTGCTACGTCCTACGTATTCGACGGTGGGGTACACTCCAGATTCGAACATAGCATCGGGGCTGCTCACCTGGCGTAGGACTTCCTTCCCCTATGGAATTCATCTTAACGACAGTCACTGAGTGTTGACCTCACCACCTCTTATCGAAGCTCGTCGTATATCGAGTGTCCTGATGAACTCCTCCATGTTCCCATATCACCTTGAATCAATGCGCTTTAGACAAACCTTCGCAACTGGTCTACGGGACCGACAACCTCACCTCGGTATTAGTCAGAAGGATGTGGTGAGTCTCGATGTGGCATCTACTTTGCATCAGTCTCGCGCCTGTACGTTGTAGGTTTGTGTGACAGTAGCAGCCTTATGCCATGACCTGGGACATGGGCCATTCTCACATACGTGGGAGTCTTGTGTCCTGCCTAGTATGGGTATTCATCATCACGAGCACGAGCAAGTCAGTCTGAAGCTACTGTGAGTCGAGCTGATGGCGATCGCGCTCAATTGGTGATGATAGTCTCTTCGTCAGAGATGCCATAGTTAACCGTCTGACAGCTGAAGACAAGTCCCTCCCATTGAACTGTGCAGATGTGAAGTTCGTGAAGAATTGCATCGACCCGCCAAAACCGGCTAAACTGATTGAGCTCAAGGAAAGCGGCGAGGAGGCTTTTCTTCAGGAGGTGCACTCACTCGAACTAGACTATTGGCTGTCCTTGATTTTGAGGGCATGCCGTCCATCGAAGTGATTAGTTCAGTCAGGTCGGTCGACCAGTCGCCAAGGCGTTCCTCTTGGATATTGTTGCTAACAAGAGAACGGGGCTTGACGTTGATAAATTCGATTACATAATGAGGCAACCTCGGCAGCATTTAGTGCCGTGAGTCATCAGCTGCTGCTGCCTCAGAGACTGCCATCACAGTGGGGTCCAAGGAGAGTGTGAGGTACCTCGGCTCATCATGAACGCTAAGATCCTCATGTCGGATGGCTTTCCAACTATATGCTGGCCAGATAAAGAGGTGTGCACATTCCTTTGATGATGATGATGCTAACGCTGTCGGAGAGAGTCGTTCTATACAGTTTGAAAACCTTTGCGCCATCTTCCGCACGAGGGAGTCACTGCATCGGCGGATGTATCAGCATCGTACAGTCAAGGCCGTTGAGGCTATGATCAAAGAAGCGTTCAAGCTAGCTGCTCCTCATATCGAGATCAAGTATGTGACAACCCTTCGCATTTGAGTCAGCCAATCAGACTACCTTCTTTCGCTGTTGCTCAGGGGTTTGGATGAAAATGGATCGGAGGCCTTCAAGTCCCTCAGCGAGTCAATTGAGGATCCTCGTGCGCTTTGCGTCATGACCAACTGGCTGGTGAGTCTTTGTGTTATATGTATGCCCTCTTCCTAGGTGCGTACAAAGTTCCTGTTCACAGGCTCATTACATCGAGCATGCACACGCTGTGCGTTTCGTTGGTAACCAGGTCCCGCGAATTCCTGCGCTCGAACGAGCTTCGCAAATCCTCAAAGATATTCAGCGGCGCAAGTGAGTCAGTGAAACTCATCTCTAGCTCTTGACTAGATTCATTATGGGACACTCATTCTACAGTCTATTTGTGATGCTTTGTAGGATTTGGAAAGTCGTTGTGAAATTCTCTGGAGTGCCGGAACCAGGCGTTATCGAGAAGATTTGTTCACACAGTAAGTGGTGATTGAAAACATGTTGACTGCGTTTGAACCCGATATTCTGGGCCGCAATCATTCGATGTTCAAATGCTTCATCGCGAGTCAGTCGGCGGCTCTATCCATTGCCATTGAATGAGCAATACCCTACCATTACTTGGAACTCTGCAAAAGAAAATTTGGAGTGGAGTGGCGGCATCCATCTCGCCGCGTGTTGCTCAGCAAAATCAAGGAGTTGGTTTGCAGTACAGAAATTGTAGAAAACCTTAACTTTAGTGAATTGAGATTCCCCATCGCTCGTCGGGTGAACTCTATGTGTCTCGCTATGTATTCCTTAGGTACTTTCTTAGAACCAGATTCTCTGGAGCTCGCCGAAGCGGCATACAATTGGGGCATGGGCGAGAATAACCCAATGGAGCATGTGAGGTTCGTTAGTAAATGTGGGAGCTACGCTGTGCATATGAGAGAGCCGGAGCTTGCTATCCAAGGAGGAATGTTGCCTTCAACTTTCAAGGAACAGTACACTAGTATAATCTGCAGGTGAGGAGAACTACTCCCAAGTGGTCACTAATGATCAATCGATGTTCAGATCGGCGGACCCTAAGCTTATTGCCGAAGCTGAGCGTTGCGTGAAGGCTTATCGCGCGGAGACGGTGACCGAGGTGGTCTTTATGGTCGAACTCTCCATGACGGTAGCATCTACTGTGTACCTTCTCAGAGCACCCTCGCTGACAAGATGGTGGCGATGACTCCCGTGAAATACACATCCGATTTGTGCCCTCGCAATCGGCGTGTCCGTTCGTCGGAGCCAGCGGTGAGGTTGGTGAATCTTATGGCGCAGTAAGCGTCCGTTTGCGGATCACTTGCTGTTCCGTTCAGAGCATTGCTTTTCTCAGGAAAAGAAGTCGCACGTCTACTGGCATTTCGGAGCATACGAGCTCGAGGAAGTTGGCTAAGAAATCCAAGCCGGCAGAGTGAAGTTTTCGATCAGCATAACTCGGCTTTCATCCCCACACACATACTTCACATAATAAGGTTTCCATGATTGGATCCTCTGTCTGTGTTTAAGTTGCGATCACTCACCGCACCCTCCACGGAAATTCTGCGCAAAAATCAAGTCCTCTCACTGACGGCTGAAACTGATAGTGACGAGCGCCGTTGAGTAACAATGATAGAGAAGTAGTTTACAGATGATGTCAGCCTATTTACCAGTTCCATACGCTCGAGACTAGCTCGGCGGGATCCGATCTGGATTCCGGTGAGACCTTGATATTCGCACTTCTAAGTATTCAACTGCTGTACAGTAAAAAGACCTGTGCCTTGAACGGCGTAAACTGAGTTGTGAACTGACATGTGATCACAGTTCATCATATGCTCAAGAGAACTTTACGAGAACAAAGTGATGACCCCATGTGGCAGACGGAACTCATCCAGCTAGCAACGGGGGTTCGACACCATACCGCGTACATTAGGCATACAGCTACGTAAGTGTAATGATTGTGCTATGAGACTTTTGTGCCAGGCACTGTCAAACTGAGAAAGAAAGTCCTCTCGAAGAGGTGTGTTCACTCAAACTGAATTACGGGATGTCCTCGATTCCGACGGCGATTAGCATAACTTGGCTACACACAGTGTTCACATGATACGATTTCCATAATTGGCTCTTCTGTCTGTGTTCAAGTTGCGACCGCTCACCGCACACTTCACGGAGACTCTGTACAAAAATTTATTTTTCTCACCGATGGCTGAACTCGATAGGGATGAGCGCCGTCATGTAACGGTGATAGAGAAGGAGTTCACAGATTATGTCATCTTAGCTAGTAACTACTAGTTACTAGGTCTCCGATGCGACAGCACGGAGCTTACTGAGATTCCAACGTTATACGCACTAATATGTGGTCGGTGATTAGATCCTAGCGTCTCAGGATGACGGTCTAGAATCCCAACCTGCTGAGCTGATGAAGACCACTTCGTCTACAGGCCAAAATCTCTTCCTTTGGATAACTCCGAATCACCATATCTTCAGTGTAAAGAGTGTTTCATAAGCAACGGAACGATGCATTGCTCGTCGCCAAAGCCGCTCTACTTGTATCAGAATTGTTGCTCAAGCACGGACGAGCGCACACGAACAACCACGAACTGCAATAAAGCTCCGTTGGCTTCGTCTCTCCGCACCCATTTTAGGATTTCGCTTATACTCTCGGAACTATCTCGGTAGGATCGGATTTGAATTCCTCTTAGCCTCTCATATTTTGCACTTTTCAACTGCTGTACAGAAACACAACCTGTGTCTCGATTGAAATAAACTGAGTTATGAACTAACAAGTGATTACAATTTATCATATGCTCAAGAAAATTTTACGACAAAATTGCGATGACTCCATATGGCAGACGGAACTCATCCAGCTAGCAACGGGGGTTCGACACCAAACCACGTAAATTAGGCATACAGCTACGTAAGTGTTATGATTATGCTATGAGACTGTTGTGCCAGGTACTGTCAGATCGGCCCACAGCAAGAGGGAGCGAAATGTGTTTCGGGAATCAGAATCGTGCTTATCGTCCTACAGCCATACCGTCTTTCCACTGCTTCCGCGACTTTGGCTTGCGATAGTCCATCCCGTAAGTGGCCCACAAGAACCAATCAATATCATGATAGGTTGAGAATGATAAGCCATTGAGACTGATAGTGCTTGCTGGGAGAACCTTCTTGGACGGTATACGGAAGTTTCTTCCAATAGGATGGCATTCATGCGAGTAGCCGCCCTTTCCGTTATCAGATAATCCATACAAGTCAACATAAATACATCCGTACGCGCCACATACCCGAGTCTTATTGAACCTGATGCTCGTATCGATGTTATACAATCGCCCGGCCAGTGGATGATGAGAAGCGATGCAAACCCGCCAGATGTCGTGCTTGAATAGGAAATAGCCGAGGCCGCGGAGACGTTCTGCAAACTCATTCCTTTGTACGCATGGCGATGCGCCAGATGGCAACAAATAGGCGATATCTGAGTCTTCAGTCCAAGGGACGTGCGTACCGTTCCGAACAGCGCCCAGGGCGGTGCCGAAGGTCAGCATAGGCTGGCATCCGAACTCCTCCATGGCACGATAGACATCGATGGTGAGCATGTCAAGGACTGCTGACCCGCACACAGGCTTCAATACTCTTGGGTCGAGGAGAGTGCTACGAGTAGCACCTGCGCATTCCAACCGGTTGTGGTTAGGATGTATCGGTAGACAATGCTTCCAGTGTGAGGCGGAGCTAATTTGCGGGTCGACCTCGTCCAAGCGTGGCCCTTCACAGACCTCGCGTGCCCGCTCATATACCCTTAGAGGCTCCACAGGAGCGTCTGCCAGAGCCCTCTGGAAAAAGTTACCATTACGATAATAAGACATATTCAACCCGCCACCTGTTCTGGGGCACTCGATAATTTTGAGATCTGCTGCTTCAGTATTTTCAACCTGTTCATGCGCCATAGATGGAGTTGTTCTAAATCGATGAGCGTGAGCTTGGTCGAGATTGACTCTCAAACGAGGCTTCTCGGCTCGGAAGGACTTCAATAGATAGACAGGTACGATTGAAATCACAGTCAACGATAATATCCAAAATAAACGGCGGCGGTGGCACTTAGATGGGACCTTGTGCTCATCGACCCCTGCATTTCTGCTGGATGATATGCGCACCGCATTAGAATGGTAATTGAGAGGAGGCAGCGGATGCCCCTTGGATGTGGAAGAAGTTTCCACCATTGAAAAAGAAGTAACTGAAGACGATGCCTCTGCTCAGCGCACGGAATTGATCCCTGGTCGAAACCCGGCCAGTTACACGGCTCATGATACCCCGTCACCTACGACGTCACACTATCGCGCAACCCCACAAGGTTTGTGCGGTCCTCAGGAACGCTTCAACTGCTACTGACCGATGTGCGCACGATTGTAAGTTTTAACCCATCCCCTTGAGTAGATTGGGATACTTGTATTAGTCTCTCCGACTTGTGCCCACGACGATGAGTCAAAATGCAGTCAGGATATCGTTTATAAGTGTTTCTAGCAACAACAATCGAAAGCCTATATGATTCTAAGAACAATGATACCACTGACGCCGACAAAGTTGACTGGAGAAGCATGGGCAACACAAGTGGCGAGCGACTCGTCCGAAATCGAGTTGTGTCAAGACTTCAAGATGATGAAGGGATGACTAGTCGACTTCGACGAGATAGTCTAATATTTATCTGTCAGTCGTTAGCATTACCACGCTTCTTTAATTTCCCTCCTAAACCCACCCACTGCCGCCCGTAGGCAGGTACCATTGAATTGCTCGGTTAGATCTCTCTTCCTTCCGTGTTTCTTTAGTTACTATTCTGGAGATCTGTAGGTGCGCATCGTAGCTCGATGATTCGGTTTTTCAGCCAATGGTGGGGAAGTCTAAGTCATGGATCGGAAAGTCGCAACAAACTTGAACGTGTTGAGGAAAAGTAAGGTTGTTACGCGGAAAGAATTATAATTGGGCAGTAGAAGGGTTTCACAAACTACGAAATTTCGACAAAACCAAGTTGTGAGCGGACGATTGGTACAGTCATTGATAGCTATATCACTTTACAATCCAGCGGTACTCAGCTCGCTCTAAATGCGGCCAACTACTCAACTAAATTTACTCAGGGCAACTTTTTTGACAAGATTAGATAGGCTCGCAAGGTCTCCCGGGTCCCTACCAGCGCGTGTTCCATCTCCGAGATGGAAGTGGGAAAGTTGCGAAACGTGCTTTACTTCGCTCCGCCGTGCCATAGCTGTAGCGGAGCTGGCTGATTACCAACCTGGTTGTTAACACAAGAACCGGGCATTTCTGCAGACAGATCGCTAAGTTATCCTTGGGGTAGAAGGGTTGAAGAATCAATGAGGGAAGAGGGAGAAGAACCCAACTACGATCTTGAGCCAGATGGCTACAGTCGTCTTACCATCACTAGTGTCCCAAAGGCTTGTGCTTACTAAGCCAACCTATGTCTAAGGGACGACTAATGGGATCGACAAGGACGAAAGTAGCGAGTGTAACAAAGCAATATGATCATAGAACTGCAAAAGAGAACGAATTCGACGCCTAGCCGTTTCAGCCGTTTCAACAAGTCGACATGAAACTGCCTAGCGGAGCGAAGCGATCGCTACACTGCCGCCGCCGCTAGACGGAGTTGTCGAAGCATATTACGGGTAGGAGGACCTCTACCAGGTTGAGCATCGATAGCGTCAGCATACAGGCGCCTTTGCTCTGGGGAGAGCTTCCTGGTGCTCGTACAATCTTTGGCATAGGCGGCCTTGAAGTTAGGAGGTGGTCTCGCAGTAGGATCCTTCCACGGGATCTTGATACAACATCTTCCGTCGGGGGCATCACGGTCGTCAGCCAGAGTGACAGGGAGGTCCACGGCCTTGGAGCTGTTCTTCACTCGTTGGTGGTTGATAGACACATCGTTGAGGCTCATATCATTGATGCTCTTCGCAGTCACTTGATGGCATTTCACATAAGGAGAAGGGGCAGTTGCCTCCATATCAGACCTGGGGTCAAGAGGAGTAGCCAGTAGCTGTTGACATTCCTGACCAACGATGATTCTATCTTGTTGAGCAGCATTAGGGTAGATCATCCATACCGCACCACCTGTACGTCGTAATAGACTAGTTGGCACGATGAAGGGGTAGTTGAGCGACCTGACCACTAGTATATCG